TGCGTTATATATATTGACCCTACATTTGCTGTCTTCTTTCCTTTTTTTTTTTTTTGTTGGCTTATAAATTAAATTAATATTTTTTGTATTCTTTCTAATGTCGACAAGAAGAAAATGATACACATCCTCTGTTATATCATTGAGAATACACTAAGTGAAAAAATTCTATATGTCACTCAATGAAGATTTTATGGGATTCACCGATAAAATTAATCAATCAAAACATTTTAATTAATTCTATATGTCATGTTGGAAATCTCTCCATATTTACATTATATTTTTAACATGACTTCATAAATACAAATGTTACTCATTTAAATCTATCTAAAATATAATATTTTAGTATTTAAATGTTATATAACATAATATTTTAACGATGAATTATTAACCGATGTTACCTACTTTATAAAAATTATATTTATATCTATTTTGATACCATATGTGATTCATCATACAATTATTTTCTTTTTTATCGTTAGTTGTATCCATATTACTCTAATTAAAGTTGTGCTTTTTTTATAAACGTACAACTTACAGATCAAACATTAATGTTTGAATTCCGAAAATCATCACTTTCATTTTTTATTATTTTTTATTTAAGAAAATTTACATACTCACGTAAATTAGAGATTCGGTCCGACTGGAAAATGGAACCATTTGTAAGCGCATATAATAAAAAATTATTATTTTTTATTTAAGAAAATTTACATTCTAACGTAAATCATCACTTTCAAAAATTTACATTCGTGAGCTCAAATAAGTTTGAGAAAATCCATAATATCAGACGTATTCAATTTATATTAAAAACGCTTACATTTAATATAAGTGTCATATAGATTAAGTTTTGTAAAATAAAATATATTTATCTATATGAGAGATATACCATTTGTTTTTGTTTTTTTAAATTTCTCATGTATATAATAAAAATTTATGAATTTTTATTTTTAAATATTCTAATCCCGTGTTTGACATGGGACAAAAAAATCTAGTTCAATAAATAATACACATACATTCTCTAACCAAGGGCTAGCTTGTAGATGTTCGGGTAGGATTTCGAGTTTTTAATATGGGTCGTTCATCTCATGCATTAACTTTAGATGCTTTCTAAAACTAGTATTTAGAGCATTGAATAGAAGTTTCGTTCTCTAGAGGAATGAGAAATGCGTCGTGTAGAATCGTATCAAGATACCACAAGCTCTTGGATCACAAATCATTGTGGGGCACAAATCTTTGTAGAATCAGTCAAGATACCACAAACTCTTTGGTCTAGGAAATATCTCGCCATAACTGCGGAATGACTAAAAATTTGATCCTATCCTTTTTTTTTCATTCTCCTTAAAAAAAAAAAAGAAGCATCTGAAACATTTTATCACATCTAACCCAACTAATAACATGTTTTTTCCGTTAGTGAAAATTCCTCAACCAGACAAAACCAGATCCGAAATTTATTCATATTTAAATAAATAAAAAAATTAGTTAAATCACTTTGGGTAATTGCATATCTATATACTCAGACTTTTTTCCATACATCTCTATAATATTAAAAGAGAATTACATTTAGGAGAATGTCCAAAATTGATTCCAATATTACTCAAATTGCCATTGTTTTATAACTAAATTGATTAAATTGAAAAGAGTAATTTTGAAATAATGCAATGGCAATTTCAGTAATTTTGAGTACAATTTCGGC